TGGGTCCTGAGAACGTGAGTCCTCTACAAGAACAGTAAACACTCTTTACTGAGCCTGCCCCAACTGTGTCCTTTCTTTTCTTTTATTGATTATGTATAGGCATGCACACGCTCATACATGCCATTTTTCAAAGAGATATAAATAATGAGAGGTAAATCAAAGAAATTTAGAATCCAGACTCACTAATATTGAATTATCTGGAAGAAATTATAATCTCTCAGAATACATGTAGAATTGAAGATAGGTACACAGCAAATACCATGCTTATTAATCTGCATGGTCATAAATTTTATATTAAATGTAATTAAGAAAAAAATTTCCTTGGCCAAACTTGTGTTCATTAAAAGGAAGACATGGATAAAATAATGATGTTAAAAATGCAGCCATGGGTACGAGGAGACAAACCAGCAAAATGCCTAAATTTATCCAAAAGTCAGTCCTATTAGTCAGAAAACTATTGCTTTTCCCCTTATTATAGCACTTGATGTTAACAGTTGTCTTGAATTATGCCATGAGCTGGGTTTTGGATTCTATATGATAATGCCATAAAATGTTAAAAAACTGGAGTTGACATTTAGACCAATATAAAATTTTTAGCAGGAACAAAATTGTGAGATTTATCTTAATGTTTCCACAAATATTGTGATGGCTGGTTTTTCACACACAGGCACCTAATTGACATTTAATCAAGCATACAGGAGTGTATGTTAAATATGAATTAATTAGTGTGTGCGAAAATACTGCAATTTTATGGTGTGCAAACATGTAAGAACATTTAAGTTCCCATTTAATTACTGATTTCATAGATTATAAATGTATGTTTACCTAACTAACAATTCATTACCTTTCTATGGATGGCAGATTTTTTTGTCTCTTAAGTATAATGTAAAGTTAATTAGGTGTTATTTTACAATAACATTTGGAAATTTTTACCTGATTTAGCCCATTTATTCTACTTCTGACTTGTCATCTTATCAGCAACGTATATGGAGAATATAATGTGAATAACAGCTACTATGAATGTACACTTACATGACTGCAGTTTGATTGCCATTCAACAAAACAATATGTGTATGGGAAATATTTTGAAATTTTGGGATAAAATAGAAATAGTGTATGGCTATAAAGTTAATTTTGATAGGTAAATGTGGCTAAATAGTTTATGGAATTTTGTTAGGTAAGGTGCACAACTCTGTAAATGTGTGGCCATGTTCATTAGCATAAATATCCACATCATCACTTTCCTGATAGTTAAGTTTCAGGAAACTTGAGAGAAGCCAGATTTCTTCAAGTACCTCCTGAATAAAGAGGAGAAAATCTCTGTGTCCACTGAAGTTTCCAACTGGCTGTGTGAGCTTCTGTGATTCCCACTGTGACGTCTCTGTAACAACTTTATCGACATTATTTTCTTTTTTTGGAGTTTGTCGTCTGTGTTCAGTCATCCTATAGGTATGGGTCTTGCCCCACTATTTTTTTTTCCTTTTTAAATGTTTGGATTGAAGTGCTGGAAAATTCTACATCAGAGTAAACGGCTTAGTATCGCATGCAACTTCAAATGAGTGTTATCAAAACAAAATTAGTTCCAAAGTCTTCAGTAGCAGTTCTGGGATCTGAGTCTCCCGACTGCAGTTTACAAACATATACAGTTCAAATATTAATATATATCTGCCAAGTGCTGGTTACCTCAGAGTACTACATGTGAGCACCCCACATTATACATACTGAAGCTTTGGAAACAAATAAATGATAATATTGTGTATATGCCATGTTATAAGAATCATGATTGCTATGTAAAAGAAGTGAGTTTTAATTTCTGCATTCAGTTTGCACACATATGGAGTAGAATCAGCTGTGCTGTGCATATTTGTGGTGATATCAAGCAGTTTTAAGAACCAATGGTTATTTATTCACACGTTTGTAATGTACCTTGCCATGGGTACTGTCTTGCTTCCAATTAAAGATAAAATGTTGCTTCAGTATTCCATCTAAATAAAATATTTTTGAAGGTATAGTGTCTCCAGTAGAAGACCAGACCACTATCTATCCCCACTGAGTTCATTATAGAACAACTTTGGAAACAAGAACCGTAAAGTACTAAGATGTAAGGGAAATTAAAGTTCCATAGTGAGCAATGGAAACCCACTTTTAGTTAAGTGGAAATTGTCTGATAGAAAATACGCAGAGAATTCTCTATTTAGTTCTGCATCCCACTTTTTAATTGGATTGTTTGATGTTTTGGTGACTAGCTTCTTGAATCCATTTATACTTTGGAGATCGGACCTCTGTCAGATGTGGGGTTGGTGAATATCTTTTCCCATTCTGTGGGTTGTCGTTTTGTTTTGTTGACTGTGTCCTTTGCCTTGCAGAAGCTTTTCAGTTTCAGGAGGTCCCATGTATTAATTGTCGATCTCAGTGTCCGTGCTACTAGTATTATGTTCAGGAATCAGTCTCCTGTACCAATTCATTCAAGGGAACCTCCCACTGTCTCTTCTAAGAGGTTCGGTGTGGCTGGATTTATGTTGGGATCTTTGATCAGTTTGGACTTAAGTTTTGTGTGTGGCAAAACAGAATTCTCAATAGAGGAATCTAAAATGGCTGAAAGACACTTAGAAAATGTTCAACATCCTTAGCCATCAGGGAAATGCAACTCGAAACAACTCAGAAACCATCTTACACCTGACAGAATGGCTAAAATAAAAAACACAAATGACAGTCTATGCTGGAGAGGATGTGGAGAAAGAGGAACACTCCTCTATTGCTGGTGGGAGTGAAAACTTTTATGGCCACTTTGGAAATCAGTATGGTAGTTTTTCAGGAAAATAGGAATCAGTCTACCTCAAGATACAGCAATTCCTCTCTTGGGCATATAATCAAAGAGTGCACATTCACACAACAAGGACATATGTTCAACTATGTTCATAGCAGTGTTGTTTATAATAGTCATAACCTGGAAGCAACCTAGATGCCCCTCAACTGAAGAATGGATGGAGAAAATGTTGTACATTTACACAATGGAGTACTACTCAGCAGAAAAGAAACAATAGAATCTTGAAATTCACAGACAAACGGATGGAACTAGAAGAAATCACCTTGAGCCAGGTAACCCATTCACAAAACTACAAACATGGTATGTACTCACTCATATATGGTTTTTAGACATAGAGCAAAGGATTACCAGCATACAATCCATACTGCTAGAGAAGCTAGGAAACAAGGAGGACTCCATGAAAATAAAGTATGGTCCCCTGAAGAAGGGGAGGGGGACAAGAACCCCAGAGCAAATTGGGAGCATGGGGGGAGAAGGAGGCTGGGAAGAGGAGAAGGGGAGAAGGGGAGGGATGGAGGAGAACAGGAGGACTGAGACAGGGGAGGAGGGTAAGAAAGGAGATGCCTTGATAAAGGAAGCCAGTACAGATTTGGATAGAAGACTGGCACAGGGGAAATATTAGGTGATTCACAGTGATGACCTCAACTAAGAATCTAGGCAGTAGTGGAGACACTGCCTTTGATGCCCTTCCCCTATGATGAGATTCATGACTACCTTGGTTACCATTACTAGTGCCTTCATCCAGTAGCTGATTGAAACAGAAATAGGCATGCACAGCTAAACACTGAGTCATACTCCTGGATTCCAGTTGTGGAGAGGGAGGAGGGATGAGCAAAGGAGCCAAGACCATGTTGGATAAAAGCTCAGAAACAGTTGCCCTTACCTAGTGAGAGCACAGAGACCCTAGTCATAAAGCTGGGGAACGAACATTGGACTGAACCAAGCCCTCTGAATGTGGGTGCCAGCTAGGAGTCCAGGGAAGTCTATGGGACCTCTAACAGTAGAGCCAGTGTTTATCCCTAGAGCACAAATGGACCTGGGATCCCATTCCCTATGGAGGGATACTATTGCAGCCCAGATATGGGAAGGAGAGCTTGGGCCCTCCTCCACATGATGTGATGGACTTTGATGATCCCCTGTGGAGGGCCTAACTATTCCTAGGGATTGGGTGGGGGGTGGGCTGTGGGGTCAGTGGGTAGCATGGGAGGGCGAGGGAATTGGGAGGTTGATATGTAAATAAGAGTGCATCCAAAATAAATTTTAAAAATGTAAAAATAAATAGAAAATATGAAGCAGAGAAAATTCGAAAGAGGAAAAATTCATATTTAGAAGGACTTCATAGAGAAGTTATGGGGGTGGGCGATTATGAAAGCTCACACAGCCAATTGAAAATTTTAGGAGACACAGAGGCCTCCTGTTCCTCCTTATTCAGAAGGTGCTGGGAGGAAGTCTGGCTTCTATCAAGTTTCCCGGAATTTCGCACTACAATGAAAGGAAGGGAGTAAATTTAACCTTGTGTTTATTCACCTCCTCCCAGACATTTAAAAGAAAAATTCTGATGCCTCATGGCTAATTTTCAAGGTCTTCATATTGTGAAGCAAGTCCCAAAGGGCTCCAAAGAGCTTTGTCCGTACAAACTGTATCTATAATATTAACAGTATATAAAATGAAATAAATGTCAAAAATTATTGTTTATTTTACGATCAATACAAAATGAACTGCATGGCAGTCCCCAAATCTGATTAACCTTAGGGTCTATGACTCGTTCCTTCACATTCACCTGAGGATCCATGAGGAGAGTTTACCTGACTCAGGGTTCAGGAATGTGAGCTTTTTGTAGATAATGGAAACTTCCTGGGATGCTGGAATTAGACACATCCACAGGTACCCTAGCCGCATGTAACCTCAGCTCCAGGTTTAATTAAGGAAAGGAACTTGAAAGATTTTGTGAGTTCATTGTGATGAGAGCTGGCTCTTCTCTTTGTCCCTGGTGTGTGAACCTACTGTGACAAGCCGTGGCAGAGCCATTCACTCCTTGGACTTCCAGTGCAGTGAAGTATGGAAGTGACCACACCCTGGCAGAGGGTAATAATGAGAATTGTTTTTATCATAAATGTGACTTGATGTTTTAGAATCCCTGAAAGTTATTTGATAATCCTCCAGAGTTCCTAGTCTCCCACTACACTGAGAATCAAAGTGATGATGAACATGGACTAAAATTGCGATGTGTGCTTTGGAGTACTTCAGATGGTTCTGGTTTCACTAATGTCTATCTGCTTATGGTTATTTTTGCATCCGTGTTGTAATATGAAGGAAAATATCAGAATTTTTCACTGAGGACAACACTGATATTCAAAAGAAAAACTTGTTTGCTTTCCTTGGATCAACCTTGTAAGTTGGTACTCTCTATTATCATCTTTCCTTGTGTTTTTTTCCTGTAGTTTTTGCATGTGTTTCTTATTTACTTATTAATTCATGTTATTTTTACATTTTTATGAATAGAATTCCACTATGTATCCCATACATTCTTCAGACCCAGCAACATCCTCTTTTCGGTGCCCAAATCATGGCTGTACCACTATGCCAGCTCTGACCTTGAAGTTCATATGAAGTAAGTTGATAAAAATGTCTGAAATGGGATAATGTATTAAATTGTCTGAAAAATCACAAAATTAATGAATGCATGTGTAATATGAGTCTACCACCTACTTAAAAGAATTTGTGGCATTCTGGCATGGGAAAGATGATTCAGTGGTTAAGAACACTTGTTGCTCTTGCAGAGGACCCGGGTTTGGTTCCCATTACCCACAGATATGCTCACAAATGTCAGTAACCCATCTTCTAGGGAATCTCTTACCCTCTTCTCACTATAGGCACTGGACATACATGTGATAGTTTACATAAGTTCAACCAAACACTCATATACATAACACAATAAAATAAAAGTTTAAAAGATAACTCTTTGAAGAAACCTAAGTTGTTTTCCATAAAAATAACATTATACAGATTGAGACAGTTACCTTTAGGAGTGTGTGTGTGTTGTTTGTATGCATGGATATTACAATAACTAATGAAAAAAAGAGGCCGAATTTGAAGGAGAGCAAGGAGGAGTACATGGGAGTGTATGGAAGGAAGGAAGGAATCAGGATGACATGATTTCATTATAATCTCTGATACAAAAGAAAAATAAAGGAAAATGAAGTTTTGGCATCCTAATAAAGCTCAGAAGCAATGATGGAAACACATCTATCATGTTTGCCCCTTGATGTTTTCTCTTAAGTCCCTCAACATAATGACTGACAAACAACAGGAGAGATGTAATGAGTGCTCACTGAAAAGATAGCCCCCAGTTGCCAGCATTGGTGATATAAATTGGACAAGTAAAGTTACAGATGTTCCAGGTATACTTCATAATAGTTTGTACTTTAATTGTGAAAATATTACTATTGGACAGCATATTTATTTCAATGATTCCTTGTCACTTGTACATGTGGCGGTTTGCCTGCATGCAAAATTGGGACTTATTCTGGCAGCAATTTTAAGAATCCAATTCTGACTGTAACTGTTTATTAAACCAGCAACAAGAGACAACCATGAGTGCACTTGGGACCCGAATTTCCCACGTCCTATCTGTACTCCCTCTTTGTTGTGCACGGGTGGAAAATTCTTAAACTTTGGCAATATGTCTTTTTTCCCTTCTTTTAGCAGCTGAAATAATGGTCCATTATATGATAAAGTTCGTGACCAATGGTTTATTTTTGATGTCAACTATTCTTAGGCATTACTAGACACGTGGATAACAAAAAACCCTAAATATATAGTTTTTCAGAAAGTAATCTGAAAACAATAATCAGCGGACAGGATGCCACATGCCAAACATTTCATTATCAACATTAAGCAAGCAGGACTTCATTTTTGAAATACTTTATATGAAAGTCACTATGGCGTTTTCAATATTGCAGGAGTGTGCAAAGTAATCCCGTATATATGGCTTTCATTTGAAAGGTGAAAAATTCATATGTTTGCTGTGTGCATGAATGTATGCATTCTTTGAATTCATGAACACCAATGATCCAGTGACAAGCAAAATTAGTCCTTTGATGTAGTGTTAATTCTTAAACCCCCTTGTTTTCACTAGACTACTTATAATTATCAGTGTATCGAATCTTTCAAAAGAAAGGAAGCATGGAAATGAATGGTGCTTGTGAGTGTGGGTTCTGGACAGCTTTTTTTTTTTCAGAAAAATGAAGGGATGCAGTTATAGCTAAAATACCCAAATAGAAGAAGTATTTTGGAGTAATGCTAATTTCTTTCATAAGAAACAACACAAAATCAAGATTAAAATGGTAGGAAATAATTTGGCTTTTTAGAATAGTTAGTATCATTTGTAAAATTCAGTGTTTTTATATGGTAATAATTTTTACTACACTTTGTATATCATATGCTTGTTTTCCCAGAATTTCTTTGTATTTAGACATATACTACTGTGTCATTTATTTCAATTATGAAATATTAAATTGTTGAATTTTCAGCTTGATTTAGACTCATAGAAATTATATTTTTGCTTTGTATTAGTGAAATTGTAGACTGTGTTAAACTGTTTGTGTTTCTTTGTGCTGGTTTGATTGTATCAATTTGACAGAAACTTATATGCTCTGTTAAGTTGGAATCTTACTTGGAAAAAAAAACCTTTCATAAGATTGGCCTATGAACAAATCTATGGGGTATTCCTTTTTATTTCAAAAATTGTTTTACATTTTACATGCAAACCCCAGTTCCTTCTCCCTCCCCTTTTCCTTCCACCTCCCACCTTCCCCCATCTACTCTTCAGAGGGGGTAAGGCCTTCCTTGGGGAGTCAATAAAGTCTAGTATATCAAGTTGAGGGAGGACCAAGTCCCTCCTGGATAGGTCCTAGTGTCACTGCCAGGATGCCACTCCTCCCAAGAAGATGACGTTTCATAACTGTCACCCACACTCGGAATGTCTAATTTGGTCCCGTGTTTCCCAACCAGAAGTGAGGGGGTGGGGGACAGGGCATGAGAGATCAAGAAGACGAAGTTGGAATGACAGGGGGAAGGGGAAGAGCAATGAAAGAGATGTCTTGATAGAGGGAGACGTTAGGGGCTAGGGAAAAAACTGGTGTTAGAGAAATTCTCAGGAATCAACAAGGGGCATTCTTTCGATTAATGATTAATGTGTGTGTGGGGGGGGTCGAGCACACCACAACTTGGGCCATCGCAGGGCAGTTAGGACTGGGTTATGCATGACAAACTGAGCAAGCTATGAGGACCAAGACAGTAAGCAGCATTCCTTCATGCTCTCTGTTTCAGTTCCCGCTTCCAGGTCCCCGCTTCAGCTCCTGTCCTTGCTTTCAGAGATGGAGTGTGTGACCTGAGAGTCATAAACTCAAATCAACCCCTTATGCTGTCTCATTTCATCAATGGAAGTAAGCCAAGACACTCCCCAGTGTTTTTTTTTAAATATGAATTCATCGACTGAATCTTTTATTTATCTGGATTTATTTTGAACCATGATTCAACATTTAAAAGCTTCAGTGTTTCCAGGCTTGTATATTTCTAATACCATTTTTGGATCACTGGTAATTGTTCCTTCCAAATTAAAACCGATAAGTTTAAAGATCTTAAGTTCCACTTAAAGTTTGGGATTTTCCTTTAAGGATTTGTCATCTTGTATTTTCCATCAGGCAACCAAGATTATTATTGCATTTCAGTGCTGATAATCAAACTCAAGTCCTTGATTGAAAGCAATAACTGATCTACACTGAAACAACGCTGTCTCTAGTTCTGTTTTACACACACACAGAGTACTTTGCTATAATCAAAATGCTGTCATAAGAAAATGATACAGAGCAGTAACCATAGTTACCAGATAAATATCAAATGATCATTTTTGTCAAAATGCTCATTTGGTTATTACCTAGGACAGAATCATAAACAAGTCAAATGGCACAAAAATCCAAGATCAAAAAATTTATGATGTCAGCAAATATTCATACTTAAAAACATTTAATGTAGGTCCTGAAATATGCTAGAAAAACAGCAATTCATGGGAAGAGAGGAAGTCTAAATGAAGCCTGTATTATAAAGGACCAAGGGCCAAGGATCAAGGAAATAAGTGTGGCAGGTATACAGCTAGCATTTAAGAAGAAAATGCTGGGAAGTACAAATGAGTCCCCCCATTAGAGGGACCAACGAGGGGGCATGGAAATGTGTCACAGGATATGCCTTGAATGTTGTGATTAATGCCAGATTCGGTTCAAGTTTAATTAATTAGCTAATGGGAAATCACAAAAGGCTTTTGATAAGAATGCTGATGTCCTCAGATTGTTAATTAAGACCAATGACAATTATGCAGCAAATTTCAAGGCCTGTGTAGACCCCTAGGAAATCATAAGGAGGCATACATCTTTGTCTAACATTTTCAAGTCTTGGCGTCAACTTCCATCTGCCCTTGTACACACAGAAAACATGACTCTATGTCTCAAAGATATGTGAAAATCACAAGTCATCAATGAAGAAGATATTAAAATTGGTTTGCCAATATGTTCAGATGTTTGGGTATACTTTATTTAAATATATCAGTTGTCAATTTTGAAAAAAATGCTTTCAAAATGATAAGATATATTGTATTCTAAGATTAAACGTGTACATATCATATCAATAAGAGGAATATGCTAATAATGACAAGCGTTTTATTGTTGCCAGTCAGTTACTTAACAATAGCTGACATAATGACTGATAAAAATAAACATAAGGCCAGGCATTGGTTGTGCACGCCTTTAATCCCAGCACTCAGGAGGCAGAGGCAGTAGGATCTCTGTGAGTTCTAGGCCAGCCTGGTCTACAGAAAGAGTTCCAGGACAGCCTCCAAAACAATACAGAGAAACTCTGTCTCAAAAAAAACAAAACAAAACAAACAAACAAACAAAAAAACAAACATACATTTCTATGCCAATGCAATTTTAGTCCAAAATATTAATAAAAAATTCCACCACAATGTACAAATCAGGACTTTATTCTGATATAAGCATTTATAATATATATTCTTTATAATAGGTTTTAAATAAAATTTTATTTGCATCTGAAACAAAACATATGTTAATAAGAAAGAGTATCATAGGCAGTTTATACACTTCATGGAATTAGATTTACTAATAACTTAATTTTGTATTATACCTCACAGTGGCACAATAAAATGATATGTTACTAGTATTTACATGATTAGGTATTAGAAACAATCTACTAATGACTTATGGTTCAAGGAGTGTGTGCAAAGGTTACTTATAAACACCTTTGTATCAATAAAGGACTCAGATATCTGTCAATTTTAATTTCTGCAGAGTATTCCCCACCATATACAGAGAGAGTCATGTCATGAAATATGTTCTTCCCTGCTCTCCAGGAAAGGCATGGCTCGCTTTTTGTACTATGATGGTGTAATGGTTGAGCTGCTGTAAGAGTTCATTCAATGGATGTATTCTTCTCTTACACATGATGTTTAAGTTGAAGCAGAAGGCATAAGTGAGAAATTTCTGAGGACAAGCCTTCTCATGCAAAGTGATATCCAAAAGTTCAATGTTTCGGGTCCCACCTTGGTCTCGGCGCCACTTTAGCCACCAAATAACACACGAGACACTATATTAATTATCAAGCTGTTGGCTGTTTGCTATAGTTTCTTAATGGCTAGCTCTGCCTTAATTATTAACCCATTATTACTAATAAATATATTTTTACAAGGTCTTATCTTACTGAGAATGACAGACTTGCATTCTCTCTTCCCAGGATCACATGGCAACCCCCACAATAGACTACATTTCCCAGAATCCTTCTTGACTCCTAGTCCCACCTATCTTGCATCCCTATTGGCCAACAGTGCTTTATTCATCAACCAATAAGACAGACATTTTTACAGAATGACATCTCCCATCAGTTCAATGTGATGGTCAGGCATTTTTGTAAAATCTGATCGCACAGCCGGAACAGAAATACAACTTAGAACTGGGATTAAGCTGAATAAAACACAGAGGACATTGCAAAGTAAGCACACATTGAAAAGAAAAGCACACAGGCATTGTTGTGTCTGACTATGGATTTCAGGAAAAGAATAAGGAAAGGAAGACAGGTGATGTTTAAATGGTAACACAGAAAAGAAGATTTCCCAGAAGCCAGACACTTAATGCGGTCTGTGCTGCCAGACAACACCTGGAGGGATGCTATCCACGTCTTTATTTTCTTTGTTGCTTACAGTTGTCTAGCACTCCAGTCTTCAGGTCTGTGGGGTGTTCGCTTTAGCAAGCCAACAGTTGACCCTGCATGCTGACTGAAGTTCAACAAGGGAAGTTAACACGGCGAAGAAAAGGATGATGAAGTTGAGTTGGAAATAGGGATAACTGAGAAAACTGCTCCTAGATTTTTGTAAGGCAGAGCTAGACAATAGATGGAAGGTGAGGAGATGCCAACTGTCCCAGTCACAAATTTCTGAGCCTTACTGATTGGAGCATAATTATGGAAATGAAGATAGTGGATATAAATTAATATGCATGTGTGTGTGTTTGTGTGTATGTACACATGAGCACACACATGGACCTTGTGTTCATGTGTGTGCTTGCAGAGCTCAGAGGTTGACATCAGATGTCACCACCTACTGTCACTTCTCACCCTATTTCTTTTCAAACATGCTCTCTTTATTAAACTTACAGCTAACTGATTCAGTTATGGTGGCTGGCCATTGAGCTCCCATCCCAGAGCTGAAGTTAACATTGCATTCTATCATATGTATCTTATGTGGCTTTGGAGGATCTAACCCATCTTTTCCCATTTTCAGAAGAAACACTTTGCCTACCAAACCATACTCCCAGTCCAGAGCACATGCATTATTTAAAGACATAGCTTGTACCTTGCAAGAGTACCTGCCATATATTAAAATAAAAGTTTGGAGAACCTGGAGATGTTAGAGTGGGATACCAATGTACAGAAAAGGACTGTTGGTAGAAAGAGGATAAGATTCTGAAAGCAAAGAGGTCATTTACAAATAACACAGGATAGGGTAGCCAAGGCCATTTCAGGGTGACTTATTTTTTGTCAAGTTTTTCTTTTTATTTCATTTAAATAACTTTTTACACTTATTTTACATACTAACCATAGTTTCCCCTTCCTCCTCTGTATCACCCCTCTCCCATCTACCCCTCTGCCCCTCTCCATTGTGTAATTTTTTAAATCTTTAAATATTTTTCTTTTTAATAATTTAAATTAGAAACAATCTAATTTTACACATTCCAGCTCCCTCTCCCTCCCATTCTCCTATGCCCCCCACTGACTCCCGTTTCATCCCTCTTCTGCTACATAGAAAGGGCAAGGGCTTCTATGGGGGATCATCAAAGTCTGTTGCATCATTTGTGGCAGAGCCTAGACCATTCCCCACGTGTCTAGGCTGAGAATATCCTTTCATGGTGAATGGGCTCCCAATGTCCATTTGTACACAAGGTATAAATGCTGTTCCATTACCAGGGGCCCCATAGACTGCCCAGGCCTCCTAACTGACACCCACTTGAAGAGGGCCTGTTTCCATCCTATGCTGCTTTCCAAGCTATCGGTCTGGGTCAGGGTGACTTATATGAAGAGATATTAGCTAAACAGAGAGATAATATTGATAGAGACTTTGAGGATGAAGCTGAGAGTATCAGCAGTGGCAAGTGATGGTTTCCATCGCTGCCTTTCCCAAGGGACATGGAAAAAAATGTGTGATCGTATTCATATGTGGAGGAGGTCAGAGAACAATTTGTGGGATTCTCTTCTAACTTCCTCCCCTGTGGGTGCAAGGGATCAAACTCAGGTTGTCAGATTTGGTGGTAGGTGCTATCAGCCCCATCTTGTATGCTGTGTTTGCCCTTTTACATGGTAAAACATTTTGGGTTCTGTGTGATGGCTTTGTGGTCACATGTGTTCACTGTGAAAACCATTGTTACTGCTTTTTAAGACAAGATGTTTAGGTACAACATTAAGAGGATGTTTTAATGAACATTTGTCATTTATACAGTGTGCAAACATATACTGAATTCCTGATTGCCAACCAACCCATGTGAACATAATGACAAGCACGGAGAACTGTCTTCCTCTTGATTTTTTTTCAGCCAGGGACTGGTCTGTCTCCTTCTAACATGCAAAGACCCTTGTGCTTTGCATGCAGACATGGGTGACACAGCTAACCTCCATTTGTATCATTGTCGAGATGTTCAGTGGATTTGTGGAATTTCCAAATGTGAAACTGATACTGCTTAGATCCAGTGGTAAGTGTGAGTGTTTGGAAAGTTATCCAGTGTCTGGTCTTGATAGGATTCACACAGGTACAGGGGCTTGAAGAGAAATACCAAAAAGAGAGTATCTCAGGGAATATCTACAAAGCAGATCCCTCTCCTCTTCCTCTTCC